GACGCGCTTTCTTCACACGCCTTTAGCCCCAGACGTCAGAATGACTGCGAACCAGTTGCAAAAATCAACCGAGACAACAATGGAAAAGATGAGGAAACGTTGGTTCCTGCCAGTCAACCGAATGACCAACTTGTTTGCTTGCATTGTGTAAAAGGAAACCGTTTCTATACATTTTTCAGTTTTCAACTTGATGGATTGCTTAGACTTCATAAAACTGCAGCTCCTGTACGTTATCAGAAAGGGATCGGATGCATTATCGGTTTATGCATAATGGAAAATTCGTGGAGCATATTCGGTTTCAGATGCCAGGTATTTAATAACTTCGACGTATCCGCACTCTTTGTTCTAACAAAGTCGATATCCGTTTATTTCTAATGATATTTTTCTCATTTAATAGAACTGTTCCTGGAAGGAAATTCGTTAACAGCGTTGCTTAACGGATACATGAATACCCATATTTAAACTGATAATACTATTTTCAAATTTACGGCTTTTACACATTATTAATGTGGCGTTCCAGAGGAATTAGTTGTTATTCTAGTAGTGACTAATATATGCAGTAATAACTCAGGGACTACGGAATGAAGAAAAACAAATGCTACTCATTCATGACAGCAAAGGAACCATCTTTCTAGTAAAATTCATGGACCATATCTCCGTTCTGTTGAATCCTCTGGAGAAGAATCCATTGCATCAGTTCGGCACTAGTATGAATAGTTGGCAGAAGCAGATTCACACTTGAAACAGAAACAGAACGTTTCCTAATTTCGTGACCGGTTGATAATCGGAAACCTAGCAGATATATTGATGCGGTTGACCGGAAACCTGTAAAGCAAATTCAGACCAGTTTCGTCAGCCGAGTCAGACAAATACGTCACATCGCATACGAAGAATTACCATCAAGAACAGCCAACTTTCGTGCAATTTGAGTTTGTAAAATGGAAAATAGAAAATGACCATTTTTGATAACCATTCCAGATGCCTTTCAAGCGTCCGCCGATCAGACAACTATTACAACCCAGTATAGGCATTGCGAGCTCCATTTTTAAATGATGTCATTTGCATGTTGATAATCGACGGGTCCGGGTGTACAATGGTCTCGTGAAGATATATCGAGGTTGTTGTCCAAAAAGTCGAGCAAATTTATTTATATTTGGTAGATATTTGGTCTATGCGAAGTAACCCTTGATTTATATTCTGGCACAGCGCAGCTTGTTCATGTCTTT